CGGGGTTGGCCCCTAAACCAAATTTAACATTTTCTTTCTTTTCACCAAAACCTCTCTGTGCCCCTTCCTCAGGCAATCATGCCCTATTTTTGTCCTGCTCCATCCAGTGAATCAAATCAGAAACCTGGCAGTCCTCCTCAAGAACCCTCTCTTCCTCATGTCCACATCCAATCAATTGCCAAATCCTGCTTGCTCTTGGTATCTCTATTCCATCCTCTCCAGGCCTGCCACATCTCCTTAGTTTAGGCCAGCATCATCTTTGCTGCCTACATTACTGCAAAAGCCTTCTCACTGGTGTTGGAACCCCACCCCTCTGATCCATTCTCCATATCATCCTTGCTATACTATCATCCCTGCTATACCATCATCCCTTCCTAAGACCTGTCAGGAGGTCCCCATTGTCCTAGAATAAAAGTTCCACTTCTACATTCCTTAGTATGGCACATAATGGCCGTTTATGTTTGGGGCTACTTTCCCTAACAGCCTGAGTTCCTCATCCTACCTCTCAAATCTGTGATCCAGACAATTCAGAGCATCCTGAATCCCCAGTGCTCTCTCTACTCTCCACCTCCACCCCTCCACTCCCACAGCTTAGAGATCAACTGAGGCAAGCCTTCCCTAACCCATTCCTCAGGCCTTCCAGGACCCTCTGCACACACCCCTACCTTAGCATTTACCAGACTCTATAGTAATGATGAGACCCATTGACTGTAAAGAGCAAAGAGAAAATAGCTGGTGGGTACAATGGGTCCTAATACCTGTAACTCAACTGCAGGACCTTTACATTTCAGCCCCCCTTCCACTTCCTTCATTATTCTCTTCTAAGGAGAAGCCAGGACCATCAGCAGGAAAAGTCAGCATCTATCTGAGCTATGCTTTCTACTGCCCAAGGACTTTTTTTTTTTTTTTTTCCTTTTTTTTGTCTTTTTTCGTGACCGGCAATGGATCGCAACCCTCAGTGTCGCTCGCACCCGTACCGGACCGGGACCGGCAACGGGATCGCAACCCTCGGCGTTGCTCCCGCCCCTTGCTTAGCCAGTGAGCGGGAACCGGTCTGTATGTGGGATCCGAACCCTCGGCGGGAGCGCCACCGCGCTTCCCAAGTGGTGCACTATAGCAGTGCACCACCGGGCCGGCCCCCAAGGACTTTCTTTTACTCATATCCAGGATGACAGTTTTTCATGTCCGGCCCACTAAGGGAAACACCTAGGATCTTCAGAGACAACCTACAATCTTATTTCCTCCATTAAAAAAATATATCGAGTGCCTGATATAGAATAGACACTGGATGAGAAAGATGATTATGACATGGCCACCATCTCGAAGGAGTTCGGATCTGGGTGGAGCATGGACAGGATTCAGTGTTGTAAAATCCATCTTGCAATAAGATGTGTTAAGTGCTCCACTTCCAGCATGAAGGTGTGGACAAAATGCTATGGGAGCAGAGGAAAACGATGAACTCAACCTGGAGTTACCGAGGAAGGCTTCAACAAGGTGGCAATGCAGCAAAGACCTTAAAAGCCAGGAAGGCAAAGAGGCCCTTCCCGGATAAAGAGCAACATTTGGAAGGTAGAAATAGAAAGTGAAGAAAGAGAGATGAATAAAAATGTACATTTCTTCTGTGGCACCACGGCCTCCCCTTGCACTTCAAAGAAAGTCCACATTTCATACCATGGCTTATAAATTTCTCAGTAGTCTGGCTCCTCTTGCCTCATTCTCCAACTCCGTCCCCTCTCACTTTCACTGGCACCCTCTATGCCTCCAGCCACACTACATCACACAGGGGCAATCTCCTTCATGATGTAGGGCTCTGCCTTAATTGTTCACCCTACTTAGGTGCACTTTCCCTGGCTCTTCCTGTCCTCTCAGGTTTTCAGCTTACAAGTCTCCTCCTCAAAGCAAGCTGCTCCTATCTCCCAAACCAAACCAGCTACCAGGAACAATCATATCACCCTGTTACAGTTCTATACATTGCAGTGAACTAACTTTGTAAGTGATACTTCGTGTATATGTGTTGTCTACTTGTCTTTGTCCTCCCCATCCAAGCTTTTTACGAGCAGGGACCTGGACTGTCTTGTTCACTGCTGTTAACCCAGTGCCTAGAACACATAGTAGATGCTCAACAAATATCTGTTGAATGGAGTGGATAAATGAACCAAGGCATAAGCAACACAGTGTTTATTGAATGAGGACGTGGCATAGAGACATGAAAATGCACCACACGTTTGAAGAACAGCAAGTCATTTGCTCCGGTTGTGTGCAAGGGTAAGTCTGGGTGGGAGATGAGGTTGGAGGGTTGTGAAAGTACTTGTGGGCAGACTGGATAGCTCAGAATGAAACGGCCCTTTATCTCCTGGCAACAGGAGCCAAGGATCATTTCTAAGTAGGAAGTGTCATGATTGGATCATGACTTTAAAAAAGCCATTCATTCTGGTCAGTGTGGAGTTTGGGCACTGGAAAACCAGCTGGTGTGTGGGTGGAGGCTGGATGTGGGGGAGTGCAGACTGTTTAATCCAAGCAAGAGCTGATGACAGCCTGACCTAGAGCAATATTCGAAAGGTAGAAATAGAAAGTGAAGAGATACATTTGTGAGGCAAAACTCCGGAGACCTGGGGACTAATCAGATCTAGGGCTTTGAGGGAGAAGGTGAAGGCTGGATGGGAGACAAGGAACCCATGCAGGAAAGAGTAGAAACAGCAATTTTCATTCTGGTTACGCTGAGTCTGAGGTGCCTGGGGAACATCTTTCTCTGAATCTCTAGGAATTGTGCCTACCACACTGTTCCTCCTACCCTTTTTCTCTCTTCTTTCCTGTTTTGAATCACTCCCACAGGTCATGAATGCTCCCTGCTTCTCGGCATGTTGGGGCACCATGCCAGCAGGCCCCACATTCCTGAGGAAGGGACAGGGTTCATGCCTGGACCGGCTGGCTGTGGCCACCCCAGGGGGCGGCTCCCTGACAGGAAGGAAGGCAAGCCTGCTGGCTTGGCTCACACAGGAGCTTCCTCTGCTGCAGCAGGTGCCCACGGCCAGCTGCTCCAGCCCCTCAGGCTCAGATCAACAGGATGGGACTGCCCAAGCGGAAGGAAGCCTGCAGGGAGGGACACCCCTGCAGACAGAAGCAGGGGCATGGGGTGGAGGCAAGCAGGAAGAGCTGCCTGGGCTGCTGAGCTGGCGCCTCTCCAGCAGATTCAGGAGAGGCAGTGACAGGAGGCCATTCAGTCCTCATCTCCGCCCACCCTAGGCCTCTCTAGCCCCGGCCAATGGTATTATCATTATCATTACTATTGTCGCTGGCTAAGCTGGGCCTTAGACATACCGGAAGGAACCACTGGAAGATGTTCATAGATTTGGCAGTTTCTAAAAAGATTAATTCCCTTTCTATGCACATTCTGTGGGTATTGCGAAGGAAAGGATACTTGCATTATTAGCCTTTCAGTTACTCAGAGAAGCTCGCGGGAGACAGAAATCTCCGGTTTGCTTTACGCTCCGTTATCACTGCCCGCCCCGCCCTCCCCCCTCCCCAGCAACAGCGGCTGGGGTAGCAAAATTAGGCGCCAAAGCAGAGCCGTGAACTCTCCGGATCAGGAGGCCCTGGCCCCAACCCCAGCCCCAGTGCCGGTCCCAGCACACAGGCTGATTTCAGACACCCAGACAGCCTCTAAACGGCTGGGGAAGGAAGGCGGGGATTATGGGGGCTGGTTTCGGAGGAACGGGGTGTCTTTGACCTGGCCAGCAACCCTACCTGCGGGCGTGCTCCGACGGGAGCCTGGAGCCCCCTCCCCACCCGCGGTTTCCAGGCAGGGCGTTTCCGGAGGCCTCGGTCGGGAGGTGGTGGAGGCGGGGGTGGAGGAGTCTACCTTTGAAACAGCGTGTAGACTGCAATTTAAACTTCAACTACACCGAGCTCAAACTCGATTCCGCCGCCGAGTGTCGGCGCCACATAAGGATAAAAACTCTGGTCTACGGCTTCCCACCACGCCATTGGCCCAGTTCTCGGCGCTTCCTGCGTCCCCCTTTCAGAAACCCAGACAGCCTCTAAACGGCTGGGGAAGGAAGGCGGGGATTATGGGGGCTGGTTTCGGAGGAACGGGGTGTCTTTGACCTGGCCAGCAACCCTACCTGCGGGCGTGCTCCGACGGGAGCCTGGAGCCCCCTCCCCACCCGCGGTTTCCAGGCAGGGCGTTTCCGGAGGCCTCGGTCGGGAGGTGGTGGAGGCGGGGGTGGAGGAGTCTACCTTTGAAACAGCGTGTAGACTGCAATTTAAACTTCAACTACACCGAGCTCAAACTCGATTCCGCCGCCGAGTGTCGGCGCCACATAAGGATAAAAACTCTGGTCTACGGCTTCCCACCACGCCATTGGCCCAGTTCTCGGCGCTTCCTGCGTCCCCACACCATCCTCTCGGTTGCCCAGGAGGAAGGATGGGCGGAGCGGGCAGGGACCGGCACTGCTGCCTGCTCCGCCAGCGCAGGCGGCCCGGGCGTGGGCGGGGGGGCGCGCAAGCAGGTGTCTGTTCAGTGACAGAGTTCCCCTCACCCCCCTGCCCTGGTGCTCCCCACATCTCAGCGAGGCAAAACCCAGCAAATGCTCCAGAAATGCGGCTCAGTCGGCCACCGGGCTCTGCTTTCTCGCCAGACGCGCAAGAGAAGGGCGCTTCCAGTGCTAAATCTCTTGGCTCAGGCCCCTTGGCTTGCAGCCACTGCCTCCCCCACCCGCCCGGGGTCCCTCCCACGCCGCGGCTTGCTGCTAGAGGCCGGGCGCGGAGAGACGGGGTGGAGCGGGCATCCCTCCCCATCCCCCACGTGGGGCCGGTGCTCCGCAGTGCCTGGGCAAGCCACTGCGCCTCCCCGTTAGTCGCCCGCCTGCGGCACCACCCCCTAAGCCCGGGCGGGGGACGGGCGGCGAGGGGTGGGCGAGGGGCGGGGGGCGTCACTGAATCAGGTGGCTGCGGGAGTTCCCCCGGGCAGGGCCGAGAGAACACGCCGCCGGTGATTGTGTACACGCTCCACTGACACAAGCTTCACGCTGCCGGGCAGCTGCTGATCACGCGTGGCACAGCGAGCCCATTGGCCGGCGCCTCACACACCTTTGCCGCTGATTGGTCGGCCGCAGGCTCCGCCCCCGCTCCCGCCCGCGGCTCAGGGCAGGCAGAGCGGCTACCTGAATGGGGAGGGGGCAGACGGCGCGGAGCGCAGCAGCGGCGGGAGCGGCGTCGAGTGTCTCCCGGCGTCCGTCTGTGGCCAGGCAGCCAGCAGCAGCCTAGCAGCCAGTCAGCTCGCCGGCGGCCAGGCAGCCAGCCATGCTCAACTTCGGCGCTTCTTTCCAGCAGGCTGCGGTAAGTAACCTGGGGATGCCCGTTTCCTTCCTCACAGTGTCCGGGGGCCAGCGGGGTCGCGAACCCAGAGCCCCTGACATTAGCCACGCCTGGGAACCGGGGCTGCATCCGGGTACTGGGGAAGAAGGGGCTTTCTGCCTGCAGACTCTGGGCATTAGTGAGGGCATGTGTGTTGGGGAGGAGGTCGGAAGAGGAGAACTGGCACCTGGAGACGGGAGCCAGGGGACTTGGTCTAGGTGTGCAGAAGAGGAGAAGGGGCAGGTCCGCAGGGAGACCTAAGGAGGCAGATGAGGTGAGGGGGAGGATGACTGGAGGTGCGGGAGCAGCGCCCTGGCAGCGAGATTAGTGGAAGATGTGGAAGGGGAATGGGGGGAGGGATAAAAGGGCCACCCTCCACCTGGCACTGGGGAGAGATGCCCGCGTCTGCATCAGGAATGGGACCCCCAGCGAGGAAGGGGACTGCTCGCAAGCTTTTGAGGGGTGGGGTGTCCACAGGAGAAAAGGGTACGCATCTTGGGGGTCTAAGCAGAGGCTTGCAGGACGGGGGCTGCCAGCTGAGGACCGCGAGGAGGGGGCTACTCAGCAGACAGCCCAGGGTTGGGGGAGGGGGCTCCCGGCGTCGGCGCGGGGGGTGACACGCGGGCCTGGCGACCGCCGAGAG